AAAGAGGAGGGTGGATTCACTTACTTCTCCAAGATGCTTCCAATGTCCTAAAAAAGAGAGACGGAAAAATGAAATGAACCATTTCTATGCAGTTACATTCTTAAAATTCATAAATGTATGAAACCAGATACAAACTGACATAATTAAAAAGTACTTTCTTTTTTCTTAAAAAAAAACATTGCTTTTTTTCCCCCAGCCGCTCACCTTTTTTAAAGCAGTTTATTTTTACTTCCTTGTGTTACAAAAATTATACCCCGGTTGAATAATAATAATAATAATAATAATAATAATAATAATAATAATAATAATAATAATAATAATAATAATAATAATAATAATAATAATAATAATAATAATAATAATACAAAGAAGAAGAATAAAGTTGGAACGGACCTTGGAGGTCATCTAGTCCAACTCCCTTGCTCAGGCAGGAAACCCTATACCATTTCGGACAAATGGCTGTCCAGTCTCTTCTTTAAAACTTCCAGTGTTGGAGCATTCACAGCTTCTGGAGGCAGGTTGTTCCACTGGTTAACTGAATTCCACACAGGTGTTGGGGTTTCCCTTGCCCTGGAGATTCAGGGGAGGAGGAGACCCCACAGAGAACACCCACCAACATGTCGATAGGAACCCTAATCAGGCATTCTTAAAATGGTGAAGAATAAAGGGACAGTGACCAGCACTTTCAATTCTTGCTTTCCGCATGGACTGCTTTTTCTGAATTGTGTATCCCTAATATTAGCCATTATAGGTAGTCCTTGACTTTCAACAGTTCATTTAGTGACCCTTTTCTCAGTTAAAACAGCACTGAAAAAAGTGACACATGGCCATTTTCCAGTTACCAACGTTGCAGCATCCCCATGATTGTGTGATCAAAATTCAGCTGCTTGGCAACTGACTCATATTTATGATGGGTGCATTGTCCTGTGGTCACGTAATCATGCATTCAGGATCACGAGTGCAGCCAGAATCCTACAAGCACAGAAATGGAAAGATATCGAGAGCATCCTGTTATATTGCATTACTGTCTGGTTTGGAAGCATCACTGCTCCAGACAGGAAGGCGGTGCAGAGAGTGGCGAGGATGGCAGAAAAGATTATTGGCAGTTCCCTCCCTTCTATCCAGGACATGATGGCATAAAAGTGTTGCTTGAGCAGGGCCCGCAAGATTATCTGGGACACAACACATCCTCTTCATGACCTGTTTTCCCTGTTACCTTCTGGGAGGAGGCTCTGTGGTATCAACCGTGTGAACTTTCAAGCTTCCTCTTTCCGCTATGTATTCAAGATGGACAGTGACTAATATTTATATGTAAGGGTGGTAGGTATATATGTATGTATGTATATAGCATGTTTATATAATATGTGTTATGTATGTGTATACTTTTGAGAACAGGCAGCAGAATTTCATTTTTTATGTATACCAGTGTGCCCACAGTAAAAATAATGACAATAAAGGTTTTCTTATCTTATCTATATATCAATCTCCACAACAGAAGAATGGATGGAGAAAATGATGAAGCTAGAAAAAAATGACAGAATTGCTTTAATTAGAGAAAAATATATATATTAGTTTCTACTTGGAAACTGCTTCTGGACTTTGTGCTTGATTGTGCTTATTAGACTTTGTTTTTATAGACAGGCTAATACTGTAATTACTAAACATGTAAAAGTAAAAAGTTGAAATTGTAATTTTATTTTGTATTTTACAGCATTGAAAAAAGTTGGAAGGCAATGCTTTTTTTGTCTTTCCCCTTTATCCTGTGTGAGGCTAAAGCAGTCTACTCCACTTCATCATTGGTACACCAGGATACAAAAAAAGATGCTGAGGCCCTAGAAAGAATGCAGAGAGGAGCAACAGAGATGATAAGGGCTCTGGAAGCCAAACCGTACAATGAATGGCTAAGGGAACTCGGTATGCTTAGCTTAAGAAAGAGAGGGTTTAGGGGAGATAGGACAGCCATCTTCCAATACATGAAAGACTGTCATAGGGGAAAGGGCATCGATTTACTCTCTGTAGCACCTGAGGGCAAGACAAGAAGCAAGGGGTGGAAGCTCATCAGAATGAAATCCAACCTAGAAATAAGGAAGAATTTCCTGACAGTGAGAACAATTAATCATTGGAACAGCCTGCCTCCCCAAGTTGTGGCTGCTCCATCACTGGAGGCTTCCAATAATAGATTGGC